TAACATCATGCTTTGCTGATTGCATAGCATTGCTAATTGAGTTGATCAATAATCCCTGCAAAGGATCAAGCTTATCATAGCATGCATCACACACCCTTTGAGGATCCCGCTCTCGAAACTTGACTGGTAACAAGCATCTTCCTTTCGAGCATGCTCTACAAAAGATACCCCCACAAAATCGACAATGATGTCTTCCACGAGTAAGGGCTGTGAAAGGTGAAGCACACTGCATACAAGCAGCAGTGCAACTATCTGGCAGCCATTCTGGAGGATCTGCTTCCAGAACTGCCCGATAAGCATTATAGTTGATAGCTTCTGCCTCAAGAAATGGTGGTGCACTTGGTATGTAGACAGATGGATGAAGGAAACCGCCTCCACTGTCTTCAGAGCCCAAAAATAATGAACTTGAGGTAGGACTTTGTAGCGGTTGAATGCCATTGCTTTCTTTGTTCCTGCCAGTGAGAATAGCCACTATGCCACCAAGTACATTTTTCAAGTTCACGTCAATTTGTGCTCTGGACTGTTCCAAATGGCCATGATCGTCACCTGAATCATATTCATCTGACAATCTGGAGACAGTTGAAAACTTACATGGAACTTGCTTTGAGCATCTCGGTGTTGAAGTGCAAGTCTTGTCAGGAGCAGGCCAGAGATCATTTTCAAAGTCTTCTACAAAATAGTCTTCATGGTCGTTTTTAGAGACTGAAGCATATGTATGAATACCTCTTGATGTCTCCATTCATTTACTGAAAATCCTGAGGTTACAGATATAAAGAGCTTTTCCTATAAATCATTAGTTTGTTAAGAATATACCCAGAGCCTCTACGAAATGAATAACATGTACCATATAAGAATAAAACACTCCACTGGAATGGGAACATAACAATATTTGAACTTCTCATAAAGGGAATAGAATACCAAATCTTAAGAACATTCCACTGAAATGGGAATATAATAATACTTTTACTTCTTGTAAAGGAAACAGATTACCAAATCATAAGTTAAAAGCAACATATTTTTCAAATTACAGCAAGCAAGATCTACATCAGCATGAGCACACAATCAAAGCTTAAATTATTTCGTATGGTAAAATAAT